CGGTCCTTGAAGCAATATACTACGCAGTATGCACGAAAGTAGAAAGTCCAATTTAATTACTAATAGCTTTACACGTATGCAACAGCATTGTTTGCATGCAAATAAGAAAAATAGTATATGAAGGTGAACATGTGTACCACAGTATGTTTTGGCGTAAGACTTCTCGGTGAAATTGTCAACGAAAAACATATGTGTACCAAAAAAAGGTAACTACTGACTTTAGAACACGCGGACAAAACAAATGGCAAACATCCATGTTCGCCTATAGCACGTAATCAAATCTGTTATTTTAAGCTCCCGCTTTTGAAGTCATTTTTACTCGTACTGAAAACTATTTACTAGTATGTTAGATATTACACCTTTTCGGCATTTTTTTGTATTTGCATTGACTTCATTTTGCGCAAGTGTTCGTGTTAAAGCATTCTTTAAAAAAATGTATTGTGATACTATACTGAAATGTACGTATGATGTGGTTTGCAGCATAATATATCGAGTAACTCGAAAACACCGTGACTGTCTTTCTTCTCGTACTCCGTATGCCCCATATGCGTACGACGGTCGTTTGAACTGAACAGGGTGATTCGAGATGGCGACGTTCCTACCCACGCGTGAATACAAGGCGACCGTGGACTCATATCATTTGCGCTCAAAAAGTATTTAGCAACGCCAAATATAGTCCATTACTGTGATTTTAACGAGAATTATCTACTATTAAGATACAGACAGTAAGTGACGTCGTAATATTCCTCGTTGAGATATAAAGTCGGTCATAGTAAAAATGTGCTTTAATTAGATTGGTTGTCGAAACATCGGATTGTCGGACAAATAAGTCCGCCCCAATACTCGAATACAGTAACACGAATAACGAAAAATATTGTAGTGCTCAGCACCATAGATTACAGAGCTAGGTGTATAACACTTGTCACGTTTGACGTACCATAATTCTAATATACACCCTTACGGCACTTTTTTATATTAAAGGTAATGCTTTGGGCTTTTTAAAAAAAAAAATTCACCCTATTGTTCTTATGTAGTAAAAATTTTTAAAAAAAGTCTGTTTTTAGTTAAACACGATAAAAATAGTTAAAATTATTTCCTTAATCGAAAACAATCTGATTTAGGAATTGATTTGCATATTTGTATGGGGGAGCCGCCACCTGCGCATGCGTCAGATGGACATAGCGTGTCATTGTTTACAAACAAGCGACTACCCATGAGCCTTTGCGTTTTTAGCGTGTGTTGTTTTCATCGCTTGGGACTCAATTCCGACCCTCCCGCTTTAATATTAGTTGTTGTCTTGTGTTTACAAAAAACGTATCGACAATTCGGTGTGTCTCAAGCCAGTCTGATGGAAAACGTTGGTTTAAACAAATATTCACATATTATAAAACTAGGACCCATTGTTTAGGAGTAGTTGAAAAATGTACCTATTTGGGCGCAGATGTCATGCTGTCTCAACGGGGTTGTAAACACGTATACAAGTTTCACGATGTAATGAAGTTTTGTAATGAACAAATTCGTCTTGGGGCTATTGATCAGATTTTTCAACTTAACAGAAGTCCATGTAGAAAAAATAATGGTAGTTTGGATAATATTGATTTTTATCATACACCTCGTATTGCCTCGTAACGCTATGGGAAGTACGCCCACACATCAAGGCAATAATTTCATCATTCAAAACAAAACGCTTCATTCTAAATTACATCGTGTGTTTGAGGCCACGCCGTGGTAAAATTGTAATTACATCTATAAGGTATGTGGTAAAACCTTTATGGACTGGATACGGCTCATGTTGCCCTCAATCGTACGGCTTACGCGCCCTCGCAAGCTCTGGCGCTCCCACTGCGAGACCTCGGGCCGCCGTATCCAGTCCATAAAGATTATTAATTTATTATCATGTCTTCCCTTGAAGTTGACCTGGCTCTTATGTCTCTCACGAATTCTCTCGGTAAACAGGAGACCATTGTAAATATTTGAAATGTGATAATGCAATTCAAAAGAGTGACAAACAAACAATGACAATCACCTTGTCTGTCACTATCTCTTTGCTTAAACTTGTTTCATTTTAACCAGATGTATCTTCACATACATATCTCATCACTATGTATACTAAACCATAGACCTTAAAAAACAGGGACATGCAACTTCAGTCAGAGACAACAACAATCCATTTTCCTGTGTGCAACGTGGGTTATAATCTCCTGTATAGATAATCCCATTAATACATATACCTAGTAGCTTTATACATCTGAAACAGTTTTAGTTGTTACCATTTTACGATTTTTTTATATGTCTAATAAGTTATGCTGTGCCAATATTCACATTTGTCAGTGTATAACAGGTGGATTAGGATATATCGGTTCTAAATATGATGACAGTCCAATATAATGTCATTATTATGACAAACATTTTGACTGGTCATTGTTTACTTTTAGACAGTTTTGTTTCATTGTAGAGAAAAGTTATACTTTTTCTTTTCTTTTTCTGTTTTCATAGTGGAATAAAAACTGTTAACTTCGCAATTTTTAGTTTTACTCGTATCAATGGAATGAACTTGGTTATTCAGTTTTGATCAATTGTAATTTTTCTGATTATTTTCAAGTTCTAACCACAAAATTAACTCATTTTGTGTAACTACGCACTGGCTTTAGCTTATGGAACAGGAGAGGATGTAACAGTGGTGTTGACATAGCTTTATTGTCAGTTTATCTAAGGTGTTAATTGGGTAGAGAATCATAACTAAGGTTACATGAAAGGAATGCCCACAGTTGCATTTCCCTGTTCACTAAAGTCTATGACTAAACATGAGTATTACTAATAAAATTGATTATTAACATTTTAAAAGAAATAGGAAACGTGAACATTTTCCCCAACATTATATTATTGAGGTTACGTATATAAAATCAAATTTTACTTTTCTTGAATAAACCACTGACATACTATTATGGTATTGAGGTAATAAGTATTTTAATTTTATAAGTAAAAGTGTTTATTGTGCAATGTTTCGTGGGAAAAAGGGATACTTCTCATCAGTTTTGAGAACTATTGTAACTTTCCCACATTGACAATTATTAATTAAGTTACATGACGAAACAAGTAAAATTCTACCATCACCTCCATTGCAGGTTACAATATGGTTACCTTTACCTTACAACGTTTTATATGAAATCGTGTAATACAGCGATAACTACAAACTGTACCAAAAATATGCTGTGAATAAATATTACTTATTAATATAACACACGATATACAATTTTCTGTGCCATTGCATATATATATTACAATTTTGTTTTGTTTTTGTATCCCACATTATACTTTATTCTTACATTCATTTTGAATTTGAAGTTTATCTTCATGACTCTTATAGTTTCTGTTAGAATATGATATATAGACAAAGTCAAGATACTGCTAGATATATTCGATTACCATATTCTAACAATCAGTACCTCAGACGGATGGACACATAGACAGACGCATGTATTCTTATGGTGTATTGCACGATGTATGGGAAATAAACTCGAAAGCTTGAGATCAGAACTGCTCGTTCTTTGTTTTGTATCATTCTTTCTTGTCTTCTTTAATTAATGCAGTCATATAGGTTTTTCTTTTATCATTCCAACGAACTTTGTCGTTGTATGTACGTTATACTTCCCAGGACATTTTCATTCATTTTTATTGCTAGGAAGAACACATCACTGCATTTGTGTGCCCTCAAAATTTGAAGGCGCGTGCTTTACTAAAATGTTAACAAAACATACTAGTAATGGTTAGACAATGATGTTATATTCTTAATATTAGTATTTTTAGGATTTCGCGTATGCGTACCAAATATGTATGGTGTCATATTAAATATATTTATTCAACTCATCAGAACAGACATGACAATACATTGGAACGGACATTTGTGAAACTGTGGAATCGGTTCATGGTATGCCATATACTTACGGTGACAATACACGACTGTGTTTTTTTAATTGTAGACGTTTTATCTGGGGGGTAGCTGTGAATGTGCGCACGGACAGATGATAATCAAATACTCGCAATGCGACTGAAATGCGAGGTACCGGGGAGCATGGAATGTTACTTCCAAAAGGGCACCTTGGGATGATAGCTGTTGTTAGCTGGGCTGGAGTTGGGAAACATGAGGATTTAAAATAATGGTGAACCAAATATGTCTATGTTATGCTACTATATGATTACATGTAATATTGCTATCAAACCGTTATCACGTGACACGAGTATAAATTGTGTAAGCGTGGTATAGCCTTGTTCATTTAGTCATGTAAGCATCTTGTTTTACATATTTCACTTAAATATATGGATTAGTGCATTTCAGTGGATACGTTTTAAACACTTTCGACTAATAATTCACTAATTGAAAACTTCGCAAACTGGTATTAATCTTATTATATTGTGCTTTTAAACTAAATATTTACTCAATTTTGATATTTTGCAGACTGTTACATGAGCATGTTTGTGATGTCAATGAATTTAATATAAAATGAATAACCTAAGACAATGTCGCTGTAAAGCTGTGGATTTACGATTGGCTGTTTTATTGTTCGATAACTGGGAACTGGGTGTAGAAAGAAACAATCAACAAACAAATGCATAACAATCAGGTTTTAAAGATTTGTAAGTGCACCACTTATGCCTTTCAGAGAACCAATCTCATTTATATTCCAAAACATTGAAACCGCTCGGAACGAATTTAGCTCGTAAGTCGTAACATTTCGATTTAATTCCTTCATTTTATCTATCTATTTTTATAATTTGGATTTCGAGATTATATGTCTCGAACACACACACCACAGATCGATATTGCCACGTGCGCGCACATGTACGTGGGAAAAAAAGCTATTGCATCAGTGATAGTACACAACTTGGTGGGAATATCGGCATCATTTACTGATTGTATGTGTACTCGTGTTACAGGTATCAGTGAAACATGATATGAACAACGTCTTAGCTTATTCCCTTATTCCGAATGTACATTCGTATTGTTACACGTCGCGTGGAAGACTGGATCATGGCCAGCGCAAAATTTCGCGTAATGTACGTTCTCCTCCTATATCTGCAATTTATTATCATTGATATTAGTGGTGAAAGGGTCAGATACGATGGGTAAGAAAAACAACTTTGCTGATGCTACTGGCGCTTTTTTGTCAACCAGTACTTTATGGGTGTTGTATGTGTAACATAATACTCGGTGTAGGTGCATGTGCTGGTTGCATACAACATCTATCATATAACGATGATATTTGACAATATTTAATTTGGTTTACATGCGATGTGAGTATTCTATACAGCCACATGATCAAGGCGTTTCAATTTCTAAAGAAGGCGCACGATTGAAGTATCATTATTATTTTAGATATGAAGTATTGCGTCTCGACATTCATTCTGAACAGCACATAGAAGCGTTGAAGACTGTCCAGGATTCTGGGAAGGTAAAGTTGCAGTGTTTTTAACCATTGTTGAATTTTAAAGTTTAAGTATATTCCACTACCCCGGAAAACGTATATTGAGTCTTAACTGTCAAATAACCAAATGGATTCTGTTAAATATTTGTTTAAACCAGTACGACTTTTGGCATTATCCTAACCATGTAATGACGTCACCAACACACAAACAAGAACTCGTGAGATCTCTTGAACTTAATGACATAGATTATGATATCTGGATCGAGGATGTGCAACAATTAATCGATAACTACTCACCCGATACCAGGACTACCACGACTGCGCAAGATGACTACGATTATTCCGTTTATCATACGTATGCTGAGGTAAGTGACCAAACGTAAGCCCAATGTCTTGACATGGTGCCTAACATATGTCATAAACACTCAAGTTAAAAGTCGTCT